GCTGGAGCACAGGCCATGGAGGAATGCTGCTCACTGGCTTGCTCCCCTGGCCCCTGCTCAGCCTGCTTTCTTATGCAACACAGACCCACCTGCCCAGGGGTGGCACCACCCACAGTGGGCTGGGTCCTCCCACATCACTCATCAGGAAGATGCCCCTCAGACATGGCCACAGGCCAGTCCAATAAAGGAAATTCCCAAATTGAGGTTCCCTCAACCCAGGTGTGTCAAGTTGACACTAAAGCTATCCAGCACAGTTGAACGCTTGTACTTGACACAGAAGTACATCACTATTAAACCATATCGTTTCCAATTCTTGTCCCCAAGATATGATGTTAACATTAATATCACAACATAAGACAGTACAACCTTAAAAACCCCACAGTCCTTAAAAAATCCAAACACTTAAAAGTCCATAGCCTCTTTTAATAGTCTCTTAACTGTGGGTGGGCTTCTGTCTTATTTCAAAGGGAAGAATTGGGCATACTTAAGCAAAGCCAAAGTCCAGCAAAGTAGCTCAAGGCTGGACATCTAGAATTCACTAATGATCTTCTGGGCTCCATAGGGTTCTGGCAGCTCCACTTCTCTCACTCTGCTGTCCACAGCACACACAGCTCATCTCACAGACCCAGGCCAGCTCCATTCCACACCTGGCGCTGTCCTTGGTGGTCATCCCATGGTCCCGGCATCTCCAAAAAACTGGGGTCTCCACTGAAACTGAGGCTACACATTCACCAATGGCCTCTTCTTGCCTCTTGGGGTGCAAAGCCTCAGATTCTCTCCATGACCCCTTCAATCCTGGGGTCTTCACTGCAACTGAAGCTGCACTTTCACCAATGGCCTTTCCTGGCCTCTCAGAGTGCCAAGCCTCAGCTGCTCTCTGTGACCCCTTCACAGTTTCAACACCAGAACCATGCAGGAGACTCTTATATATTACCAAGTCCTGCTTCCAGCTAGAGACGGAGGTTCGGGTCCCCTCTGTGTGCTGACCCTGAAGAAATACCTCCCAGAAGATTTCACCTCAGTGATGCTTACTTACAGCTGATTTTTCAGCCCCAGCTAACCAGCATCAATTGTCCCAGTAAAGCAAAAGTTTTTCTTCAGGTTCTGGTCTCTTCTTAATCACAGCTGATTCTTCAGCCCCAGCTGACCAGAACCCACAGATTCTCAATCCAAAATCTCACACGAATAGCCCTAAGAGTCTCAGCTTCCCTTTGAAGCTTCACAAGCCAGGCCTCAATTGCCCACAACTCTTTCAGCATAAACTTTCCAAGCTCCACAGCAACAAACTCTAAGCACCCAATGGCTTTTCCAGTCCAAAGTTCCAAACACTTCCACAGTCCTCCCAAAAAGAGCAAGATCAGGTCTGTCACATCAATACCCCACTCCTGGTACCAATTTCTGTCCTAGTTTGTTCTTTATTGATGTGACAAAATACTCTGACCACTACCAACTTGGGGAGGAAAGGGTTTATTTAGCTTACATATCCTGGGTCACAGTTCATCTGGGAGCCCAAGGTAGGAACTCAGGGCAGGAACCTGGTGGCAGGAGCTGGAGGAGCACAGGCCATGGAAGAATCCTACTTACTGGCTTGCTCCCCTGGCCCCTGCTCAGCCTGCTTTCTTATGCAACACAGACCCACCTGCCCAGGGGTGGCACCACCCACAGTGGGCTGGGCCCTCCCACATCACTCATCAGGGAGATGCCCCTCAGACTTGGCCACAGGCCAGTCCAATAGGGGAAATTCCCCAATTGAGGTTCCCTCAACCCAGGTGTGTCAAGTTGACACTAAAGCTATCCAGCACCCCAAAGAACTCATCCTATTGCAGAGACACTTGTACATCCATGTTTGTTGCTGCTCTGTTCACAATAGCTAAGAGATGGAAGCAACCTAAGTGTCCCTCAATTGATGAGTGGATAATGAAAATGTGAGTCATTTATATGATGGAGTTTTATTCAGCAGTATAGAAAGATGAAATCATGAAATTTGTAGGTAAATGGATGGAACTAGAAATTGTTATGCTAAATGAAATAACACAGACTCCTAGCACCAAATCCCGATAACTGATTATGTATCCAGACATAACTACAGGAATCAGGATAATGAAAAGAATCAGGGAGGTAAAGGAAAAAAAGAATCTGAAAGAGAAGAACAGTAGAAACAGGCATTAATAGGGAGATTTGGATAAAAATGGTGTTATTTTAAGGGGAGGGGGAAGGGAAGGTTATACAAGGAACCTTGGGGATAAAGGGAAAGAAGGAGCTCAAGAGAGGTAGGACCATAGGAGAAGGATATTATTAAGGGAGAAATGGGAAAAATGGGAGCACTTTAAATGGGGAAGCCACAGTGGAAGGGTTAGACAATGCAAGAGATAAATAATGCCTACCTAGTTTTAAAAAACCAGAGGGAACCATATTAATAGAACAACCTAATGACAAATTATACATACGACTAGCTCAAGGAATATAATACATGTCTAGGGAAGGTTTATCTGAGAACATTTGGTCTTTGCTCAAGCTTTATCTACATAGCACATGGTAATTAAAAGTACCAGACTGGTGGAACTAACTTTCTTGGATGTCTAACAGCCATACTTTATGGCGTATACTAATTTGGTCAGAGGGACATAAAGGACAGTTATTGCTCCTTGCCCTCCTAGGTTGACTAAGCTCCAGGGGACTATGAGCATCTCTCAGAATGTCCTGTAAGTATGGTGCATCACCTGTCCTCTTGATCAAGGAGGATATGGAGACCCCCACCAAATGGACTTGAGCCAGTGTCCAGTCTACAAAGAGGAGGGTCAACACAAAGGAATCATTTCCTCCATGCCTCCAAGTGAAGCCAGCCATGGTTTGACTTATCTTCATATAGATGGATCTGGTAAAAGATAGGAGCCAAGGGCTCTTCCCAAGCCCATGTGACCCCTGAGGAACAGATCCTCAAATGACCTTAAGAGTAAACCTAAATTGGTTTATCTGGGCCAACTGTATGGTCTTAAACACCCAAAAGGAAAGTATAATCAAAGACTAAAGGACTCAATATAATTCTTTAAGAGTCCATGTGTATAGCTAAGGGCCACATAACAAGAAACAATGCCAGACAGGAGATACCTTCCTTTGAGTTGTTAGCCAGGGTGGCCCAGGAGACTCCCAGATGGTAACCCAGCATAGAACTGGGAAAATGAACAGCAGACCCCAAACTTATCTAAAGGAATATTGCCCACTGATTGCTGCTAGGTGAGGAAGAGCTGATCTTCCTAAAACAAGGAACTCTAGATTGGCTGAATAGATTCAGCAGATGGACAAGCACTGGAGAACACCTGGGGGGGCAGTGACAACACAGTGGACCATAACAGGGATTACAGAGTATAAGGGCTCCAATGGTGGTGGGGACTATGGGAGGGTGCCATTTGGGATGTGGGTATATAGATGACTAAGATTGTTTGGGATGTTCTGTATGAAATACACACAAAAAAATCAAATTAAAAAAGCTATATTTGTGGAAGAAGCATAAAAATTTGCTCCATTTCAATTAGTAGAGGTGAAACACATTACCATTGAAATCTATCCGATGATTTTATATCCAGGTGGATCTCAGAAAGTAACCAACTGTGACTAGAAATAAGCAGATACATAGAGATTAGAAACATACCCTACTACAGACAGATTTGCTCACCCATGTTCATTGCTGCTCTATTTGCAATTTCTAGGAAATGGAATCAGCCTAGATGTCCATCAACAGATGAATGGATTTAAAAAAAAAAAGTGGTACATATACACATTGGAATGTTATTCAGCTGTAAAGAGAAACAAAATCAGGAAATTTATACATAAATGCATGGAACCAGAAAAATGCTGAGGTGGGGGAGGTGCAGAAAGACAAACAGAAGTTTGTTTTTTTTTTTTTTTTTTCATACCTAGATCTTAGCTTTGAACCTTTAAATGTCTGAGTTTAATGCGGACAACTTCTAGAAGCCAGGAAATGAAAAAGGGTCATGCCAGTGGGGGAGGCCTCAAAGGAGGAAGAATGGCTGAACATTGATGATATGAAAACAGAGATGGTGAATACTTGAGGGATAGTTTAAGAAGGGATGAGGGTAGGGGGGTGGATAAGTAGTGGGGACGGGGGACTGGTTAGCCCTCAGTTCTTCTTGACCAAAACATTTATTCCTCAAGGCTGAGCCCTAGTTTATTCCTTAGGCTGAGCCTAAGTATGACTCAATACTGGAAATATCTTGTGACACCCCCACTCCCCCATCTTTCATGGAGAAAAGAGCATGCAGACACTCCAGGAAGGAAGCATATAAAGGCTGCTCTTATTGATTTCAATTCAGTCCTCCGTAAAATGTTTATAAAATTCAATCTTTCATAAAATGCGTATAAAATGGATGATTAACACCAAGCAGTAAGTAGCATGGGATAAGGCTCTGGGGATTGCTTGCCTTCAGACCCACTGGGCTGGAGGCAGCTGGCAGAGGTAAACAGAGCCAGTGCGCCTGCGCACAGCGCCTGAGTCACGTGCCTCAGAACGTCCTAAAGGGCGGTCCGGGCGCTAAAGCCTCCGCTGCAAACCAAGGCGGGGCATCAACCTTTCCTTCTGTTGGAAACTCCCCCTTCTTCCCGGGCCGGCCGCGCCGGTTAGCGGGACATGGCCTGCTGTGGAGCGGGCAGCACGGCCCCCGCGGTACCCCTGAGGTCCCCAGGAGTTGGCAGTAAGGGCTTGCAAAGGAAAGGGCCGTGGGAGCGGCGCCGGTTGAAGGCGGCGGTGGCGGAGCAGCTCAGCCGGGATGTGCTCAGGTAGGAGGCGGCGGGAACCGTGGCATCGTGTGCCCAGCGCCCCCTCTCTGCTCCCCGGTTTCCTGGTCCCTCCCCGCCGCGCTCTCCTTGTTCGCCTAGCGGCTTTGCTAGATCTCACTAACCAACCATCTCGAGCATTGCAGAGGACACACCGCATTCAAAAGGAAACCGGAAAGGAAAACTACAGTGATGTGCAGCACCAGTGCATACTGGAGTCATTTCAGGACTAGTCTGTCTCTAACGTGCATACTGGAGTATTTTCAGGAGGACCAGTCTGTGGCTGATGTCGGGGTGTGTCCAGATCCTGAATTGTACACCGTTTTTTGTTTTTTGTTTTTTATTATAAGAAAATGATAGGGAAAGGAGTATTTATTTTGGAATAAAGGACAGAACAAATGACTGGAGCCTTGCAGTTCCTTGTTCTAGGCTCTCTATAAACAATTTATCAGAAATGCTTATGTGGGAATCCCTACTGGTTGCAACCTGGCTTCACCTCTTAGAATATTCTACAACTCCCAGCTCCCGCAAGACCCTAAGCAAAAGAAAGAGTGTCCTAAGTTTAACCCTTTGTGAATATCCACCCCAGATTGTAAGGAATCCAGTTGAGGTAATCTGCTTCTAAAGAAAATGAAGCCGCGGGCTGGAGATAATGGCTCAGCAGTTAAGAACACTGTTCTTGCAGAAGACCGGGTTCGAATCCTAGCACCCACATGGCAGCTAACAAATGTCTGTAACTCCAGTTCCAGGGAATCCAATAGCCTCTTCTATCCTCCTCGGGCATTCATTGCATGACATGGGTGCACTTACCTACATGCAGGCAATACACATGTACACATAAAATAAAAATAAAATATTTTTTAAATGAAGCTAAGAAATATTACCTAGTAAATTTCCATTTCCAGCAAAACACTTGATTCCTGAATTTCTGTGTCCCTAAGAATAACCTGTAGGGCTTGTTAAATACAGGTTTACTGGGTCCCAGCCCATAGTTGTGATTCAGTTTGGTCTGGGATAAAAACCAAGATTTTGCATTACTAGCAAGGCCCCAGGAATGCTGGTTGGTGACATTTTTGAGAACCCCTGAGCTAAAGAATATAGAATTACTAATATCTGGCTTTTTAAATTATTTTATTTATTTATTTTTGAGATAGTGTCTCACTTTGTAGCCCTGACTGGCCTTAACTCACTATCTAGACCAGGTTGACCTTGAAGTCATAGACATCCTCTTGCCACTGCCTCCCAAGTGCTGAGATTCAAGGTGGATGCCACCATTTTTGGCCTATTCTACAGATCTTAAATGTTTCCTCAGAGAAATTTGGTCATCCCCACCTTGGGCTTCATATGTTACTAAGGAAACGGGTTCCTTCTCTTTGGATTCTTAAACTTGTTAATAAAATAATTTTAAAACATATTCAGTTGGAAGCTCAAGGATAGTTTTATTAGAGTTTGAGAGAAAACAGGTCAGGCAAGCTATAAATCTTGGCAGCTGTCTGGGGGAGGGAGATAGAGAAAAGAGAAAGTCGTATCTCTCAGGTTAGGACCTGAAAAAAACCAGCAGATTCAGCAGTAGGGAACAAGCACCTCAAGGTTCGAGGGGTAGCCTCAGAGAAAGAGTGAGAAAGTCCAGAGTTTCCAGGGGAGAATGCCTTTGGCCAGTACCCCACAGAAAAGGATAGAAGGAAAGGTAAAGTTATGCTTTTGGTTAGAACTCAGAAACTCAGGGGAGGCAGAGGTACCCTGTACTACATGGTGGAAGCCCTGCAAGGGGCTGCATGCCACTGCAGTGAAGGGCTTCTGGGAAGGAAAAATATATTAAGGGAATAATTATTCTTCCCCACCCTATAGCATGTCTTCGGGTGAATCTGTTTCTGAAGAGATGAGGGTACCAGCAAGTGCACACTCCTGGCCAGGTGACTGAGAAACCCAGTTGGATTTACTCTTAAAAGGAGACAATAGCATGTGTATGTTGGAATGTTGGGTCTCTACCTAGGGCCTGAGGTAGAATTTAGAATCTTTTCTTTTGATCTTGAGGAAGTAGCTTTGTCTTAATGTGCCTTAAAGACCAAATATCCCACATTTTCATATGGTAGTTTAAATTTTAAGAAGGCATTTCCCTTTCTATGGAGTTAGAGGCCAAAGTCCAGAGGGAGGGGGTACATCCTTAAGGTCTTCCAAGCCAGTTAGTCTCTATCTAGCTACGTAACAGAAGTAATATGTATCACCACCATATAACTAACTGGTCCTGTACTGGGTCCTGAGAAATCAAAGCTTAATGAAATAGGGCTACAGAAATGGTTCAGTGGACAAAATGCTTGTCCTGTAAGCCCAAGGACCTGAGTTCTGAGAACCCATGCTGGCCGTGATGGTAGCCTCAATGCTGGGTAGGTGGAGACAGGTAATCCCTGGTGCTAGCTCACCAACCATTAAGAGACCTTGTCTAAAATGAGATGAAGCCTGAGTAACAGCACCTGTAGTGGTCCCCTGGTCTCCAGGTGGAGAAAGAGAGAGAGAGAGAGAGAGAGAGAGAGAGAGAGAGAGAGAGAGAGAGAGAGAGACTTTTAATGACCCAGAGTTAACAGAGAGAGAGAGAGAGAGATTTAGTGCTTTTGCTCATACTTTAGTGACAGAGATAAAAGGCCAAGCAAAAGTTGAGGTACGTTAGGGGAAGGCTTGGTAGGGTGATATTTGAAGAGCTCTTGGGGGTTAAGAACAGATGAAAGATGGAGCAGAGAAAGGTTTGTATCTAAGCAAGGGGAATGACTTCTTTTTACAGGCACAGAGATTTGAAAGAATTCTTGGGAAAACATGTTGTATTAGATCTAGGTTACCTGAGGTATTGGCAAATGTGGGAAAGTGAGGACAAACAGGAAACAGTTTCATCAGTTAAGAAGCCAGACTTGAGTGGCTGGAGAGGTGGCTCACAACCACCTGTAACTCCAGTTCCAGGGGATCCAACACCTTCTGACCTCCATAGACACCAGGCATGCATGTAGTACACATACACTCTTACAAACAAAACGTTCATACAAGTAAGTCTTAAAAAGATAAAATTTCAAGTCGCATATAGTGGGTTCATAATCACAAGACCAGCCTGGGCTATATAGCAAGATCTTATTTCAGAAAACCAACCAACCCATTGAAATCTACCTGATGACTCATGCTCAGGTGCCAAGGATCCATGCTCAGGTGCCAAGGATCTCAGAAAGTAACAGACTGACAAGTAATAATCAGACACATAGAGATTAGAGATGCATGTGCAAACATCTAGGTGTTAGTTGCATTAAAAATGAGTTTTTCTGTATGAAACAGTTTATTTCAAAATGAAATGGAGATCTTTTTAAAGATTAAAACATCATTCAATTTTATATCTTAATAGGGTTTATACTGAGTTCAATATCCTCTAACTGTATTAATTCAACTGTGAATCTAAAAATTTACGTCCAGTTTTGAAAGAGATGCATCTTTGCTCTGGAAACTGTTATTGAATATGTTAATGCTGTAATGGAATGCTTCTTCTAAAAAATATTTTTATTGATACAAAAAAATTATGACTAACATCTAGTTCCTCAATTTGAGAGAAGAGAAATTGGAACTAGATATCAGTTAGAATTTTGTGGTAGTCGAGGACTACATACTGGCAGCGGAAATGGAGATGTTAACAGGATTGTTGAATGAATACATGTGGGGGAGCTGAGAAAGGGAAGAATGGAAAATGGCTCTATGCTGGATAGCTTCAATTGTCAGCTTGGTACACCTGGGTGGAGGGAACCTCAGTTAAGGAAGTGCTTCCACTGGATTAGCCTGTGGCCATGTCTGTGGGATATTTTCTTGACTGTTGTGTGATGTGAGAGGGCCCAGCCAACTGTACCCCCTGGGCAGATGGTCTGGTGCTGTATAAGAAAGCAGGCTGAGCACGGCCCGGGCAAGCCAGTAAGCAGCGTTCTTCCCTGGCCTTTGCTCCAGGTTCCTGCCCTGAGTTCCTGCCTTGCCTCCCCTTGATGATGAACTGTGAACTGTAAACCAAATATTCCTCCTCAAGTTGGTTTTGGTCAGTGTTCTTATCACAGCAACAGAAAGTAACTAGAACAGGCTCCAAATCTTAGGACATTTGAAAGGGAGTTATGCAATGAATATTCATGAGGCTCTATCCAGAAAACAACTAGAAATATGTCTGGTGTTGGAGAAATTGGACTAGCACATACAGATCAAAGGTTGGTGGCATCACCAGTACCGTTGTCCAAATCAAAGATTGTTGTTTTGGCTTCACCTTCTGTAGCTAATCACCAGTGCCTCTGGTTATTGCCCAAATGCATCCTAGTTTCATCCCTCTCTCACCATCCACCTCCTCCAGCTCAGGCTCTTTGCCTCGTCTGTTTGTGCAGTAGTTTTTCTTATCTTCCCATTCGCCTTCATGACCCCCTCCACCCAAATAATGGGTGATATTTTTGAAAAATTCACCCATGTTTCAGACTATTCAGTGACTCTCCTTCAACCACAGGACTTTAAATTTTTTTGCCTCTTTATTCATCTGTATGTCTGCAGCTTATCTTTTTTATTGAATTTTTGCAATTTTTCATGCTGTATAATTAGATCCCCTCCCCTTATTGCCCACCCTGCTCAATTTATTTGTTTATGTTAAAAAATATCTTATTCAGTATTCTAATTGTATGTGTATGAGTGTATTGCCTGCATGTGTGTAAGCACACCTGTGTTGTGAAGTGCCTCAGAGGTCAGAAGAGGGCATAGGATCCCTGGAACTGGAGTTACAAACAATTGTTAGTGGCCATGTTGGTGCTGGGAATTGAACCTGAGTCCTCTACAAGAGCAGCCAGTGCTCTTAACTGCTGAGCCATCACTCCAGCCCCCTGCCCAAATTTAATGGTCTCATATATATATAAAATAAGGCCTATATAGTCTTAATTAGTGTCCCCAAATGTCCTTCAGTGCGGTTCCATCTATTGGAGCCTGGTTAACCTACCAAAAGTCCCATCCTTGAAAGATCTCTGTCCCTCCCAGCAGCCATTGGGTGCCACAATTTCCTTAGGTCAGGTTGGGTTTCTTCCTACTTCCCCCTGCCCATGCTGGGATTGTGTCTGGTTTGAACTTACATGAGACTTGTGCATGCTGTCACCATTGCTGTGTTCATATGAGTAACTGTATGCAGCTTTATTTGCACCTTGACATCCTGAAAGTACCCTATGTAGATCAGTTTGTAGTTCCACAGCTTTGTAAAGAACAGAGCTAGGAACGCTGCTAATTTGCTTTTCTAACCAACTCCTATTCAGTCTTTAAAGATCACATTTGATTTGCATGTCTTGTATAAGGTCCTTGTCTTATCTCTGTCTCTGAAAACAAACAAACACACTGAATTTGCTATTAAATGGATCATGCTCTTTAATTTCCAGGCCTGGTTTTTGCTACCATATTCTAAATTCCATGGGGGCAAGTATTATGCTTTAGTCATCTTTAAGTTCTTAGCACTTAGTACACATTCATTCTCAAAAAAATTCTTTTTAGTGACACCTAGGTTTTAATAAAGTCTAAAATGTTTTAAGTAGATTTCACTATTATTTGAATATTTTTCCTCTCCAAAATCCAAGCTGAAACATGACTGTCATAGCAGGAGTGTTTAGAGGTAGGCCCTTAAGTAGTGATTAGGCCATGAGAGTTCCATTCTTATGGAACTGCATTTCTTATTAAATTTAGAGTGAATTTGGGGCTGAGGAGATGTCTCAGTCTGTAAAGTGCTTGCCATTCAAGTGTGAGGTCCCGGGTTCAATCCCCTAGTTCCCACATAAAAAAACTGGGCATGGTGGTACACACCTGTAATCTCAGCACCTGGAAGGCAGACAGAAGGCTCCCTGGGGACTTGCTGGCCAGCCATTCTAACCACATCAGCCAGCTTCAGGTCCAGTGAATGATCCTGTCTCAAGACAATGTAGAGAGAGATTGAAAAAAACACTTGACATCAACCTCTGACCCCCACACACCTGCATGTGCTCACACAAGCAGTTTTTTTTAAAAAATGAGCGAGTGTGGCCCTCATTTGCTCCTGCCTGCCCTCTTACCTTCCATGTGATGATGTAGTGAGCAGGCTGGTCCCAGATACTAGCACCTTGACATCAGAAAGTGCTAGCCTCTACAATTTGTTTTGTTTTGGAGACAGGGTCTCACACTGTGTAACCCTGACTGGGCTGGAACTCTCCATATAGACCTGGCTGGCCTCAATTTCACAGAGATGTCCCTACCACTACCCACTGAGTGCTGGGATTAAAGGCCTGTGCCACCATGACTGGCAATTTCTGCAACTGTGAGCCAAATAATCCTAAGTGGTAAATGGCCTGTGTGGGGTATACTGCTACAGTAATACAAAATGGACTAAGAAAAGTCAGCACATTTAGTGGTTGGCAAAAAGAAAGAGAGAATGAAGTTGGGTCTCAGCCTCACCGAACCTTTGCTCCAGCCTGCTCCTTTTTGTTAAGTGATCCAGTAAACACATCTTACTATTTAAACCAGTCTGAGCCAGGTGTTTTGTTGTTGGTTTTTTGGATTTTTTTTTTTCGGGTTTTTTTTTTTTTAATATTTTTTGAGACAGGGTTTCTCTGAAGCCCCAGCTGGCCTGGAACTGCCTATGTAGATAGAACAAACTGGCCTCAATCTCACAGAGATCCTCCTGCCTCTGCCCCCCAAGTGCTGGGATTAAAGGTATGGGTCACCACATCTGGCTATATATTAAAGGTATTATAACCACAGCTGGCTATAATAATTTTTTTAACCATTGCCTTTAAAAATAATTTTACAGATACTCTTGTTAGCGTCTCTTTTATAAACAGGGTTTCCCTGTAATCTGATAGCTGTTTGATTACCAATTGGATTTGGCTTTTCTTTTGTTTTGAGATGGGGTCTAATGTAGCCTAGGTAGGCTCGAAGCTGGCTGAGGCCTAGCATGAATCCAGATCCTGGTCCTTCAGCTTCCCTCTCTGGAGTGTCTGAGATTCCAGGCATGTGTACCTCCAGCTCTTCATTTTAGGTGGTGCTGGAGATCAAACCCAGGGCCTCTGGGAAGCTAGGCCTGCCCTCTGCGCAGTAAGCTGCATCCCTAGTTGGCTACTACTAGTTGGAATGCTTTCATTTTCACTTTAGCAGGGGTGAGGACTCAGGGAATGTTGAGTGGAGAGAGGAACAAATTGGGTATACAATTAAGTGTTTTCAGCTGAAGTGTGAGAAAAACAACACAGTTGGATAGCTTTAAAGTTACCTATGAAAATAGTATATTGATGGACATAGTGACCAAACTAAAACTTGTTTGCAAGGTTTCAAAAACTCATGTGCTCTGAATCATTTGTTTCCTTTAGGGTAAAATGGGATCATTCAACAGGGAGCAGATACTGAACTCTTGCTGAGTACTGATGATGCTTAGGTTTTGATCTTGGGGAGTTCATTGTCTAGTAGGGAAAAGCACATCAAAATAATAATGATGCAATGGCAGCTGTGCAGTCCTGGGATGGGAAAGGAGCCATTAAGTTGGTCTTGGGGGAGTTTGAGTGTCATTGGCAACTCTCCAAGCTTTCACTGTAATGGAGATCTCTACCCAGTCCTTACCTCCTGTGGTGTACTGGTGTGATTGCAAAGTATCTCCTAAGATACAGAAGTCCTCTGAGAATCCATACCTTGATAATATTCATGATATTGCTATAGTGATTGTATTGCCATAGAGATGCAAAATATTTTTTAGAGAAGAATGTATGTAAAGAGAAGAAATACATAGTTAAGTACAAAGGGGCAAATGAACATGAAATTTTCTATAATAGTGTTGATTTGTGTTCTTCAACTTAAGTATATATACATGAAATGAGCAGACTTTGCCGTAACTATATATATAGACTAGCAAAGGAGCTCAGTGAGTTTACCCCGAGCCTGTCATTTTTGAATAATAGATTAAGGCATGATTAATTCTGTTTGGTGGGAATGGGAAATGGATTAAATGTCACATTCTTGATGTCCAAGCTGCATTTCAGACTTGGTAATTAACAGAACAAAGTGTACCAGTTTCTAATCTGAATTGTCTATTGTTATGTCTGGTTTGTTGGTATTGACTATTTACATTTTTGGTTCAATTTCAGCAAGATTTTTAAACAATTGATTCTTTAATAGAAACCATGTTAATTTTCTGCTCTGTGTTTCAAAATAAAACTAAAAAGGTTCACTTTAAAAGAAAATAAACATAAGCAGCAGAAAACAAATTTTATTAGAAGGAATTAAGAAAAAAGTTCAGACACGGGTTTTTACTTTTTTAGTGAAATAGTCTTTATTTCCACTGCAAACTTTTAGAACATTAGATTCTAAGCCAATATTAAGTATGCTGTTCTTTGGAATGAACTCAAGACAAACCCATTTTCTGTTAACTTATTTTTGTAGTCAGTTTTCTTCCATCTCTGTGTGAGTTCCGAGAATGGAACTTAGGTCACTAGGCTTGCACTACAAGTGCCTCTGACCTCTGAACCACTTTGCCTGCCTTATTTTTATTTTGTTGTCTTTGTATTTTGAAGTATATATGTTTTTTAAAAATAAGTGTTATACATTTTGTAGCTTCACTAATTAAAGTATGACTCCTTTTTTTCTTACAGACTCTTAAGGGAAGAAATTCATACAGATGTTACTTTCTCTGTAGATGGTTCTTTGTTCAACATACACAGAGCAATCCTTTTAGCAAGAGTACCTGACTTTTATTTTCATGTTATTGGACAGACATCAAATAATTTAACAAATCGTGAGCTTGTTTCTCTGGATAATATCGAAGCTTCAGAATTTAGAACATTTTTACAGTAAGTACTTCATCTGGTTTTCCTCTTAGATTTAAATCTGATAAATACCTAGGGTGTTTTGTTTGTTTTGTTTTCAGTGGTTTCATATATATATATATATCGGGAAAATCCATTCATTTAAATTATTTTATTCCCTTAATAAACACTAGAGTCTAGTATTAATAGTATGAGCTTAGTCTTGGCAGAGGCAAACTTTATTCACAGTCAGTGGTGTATGTGCCTGTGATCTAAGCACTCAGAAGGCTGAGACAGGAGGATCACAAGTTTAAGGCCAGCCTGGGTTACATATGGAAATGCTGTCTCAAAGACAAACCAGAAAAGACAGATCCTGGGCTGGAGTATAGCTCAGCAGGCCTTGGGTTCAATCTTCAGCACCAGATAGAAAAAGAGAAGGGAAGAAAACAACATTCCCAAGAGAAGTGAATGATGCATTCTCTGGTGATTTTCTTTTCTCTTATCTTCTTTCCTTCCCTCCCTCCCTTCCTCCTCCCTTCTTCCCTCCTTCCCACCTTTCTTTCTCTCTCTGCCCCTGTCTCTGTCTCCTGTCATCTTTTCTGGGGATCAAACCCAGGGCTTTGGCTATACTAGGCAAGCACTTTACCACTGAGCTATACCCCCAGCCCTATCTGGTAATTTAAATGATTTATTCTTTCCCAGTGTTGGTCAGTAATGGACCTATTGATACTTTAGTTTAGATAATATTTTTGTTGGGGCAGTGCTATGTATTTTAGGATATTTATTTATGACAAACAAAATATCTTCAAACATCACCAAATGTCCTCTGGGAGTACCCAAATTGCTCCCTGCAGAGAACTGTTACTGTGTACTGACTTCTGTACTATTGGTATTCAAAACTTCAGACCAGTTTCGTTATGTTCTTAAAAATATGGGATTGTAATTGGTTCCATTTCATAGTTATATATTTTAAAATATTTTTATTGATTGAAAAATTTTACATAGTCTGTTTTATTTTCAGACCTCCTCCCCACCTCACCTTACTACCTTGCCTCCCTTTCACTTTTTTCTTTTTTTAAAGGCTTATTGGAGTCTAAACTGTGTTTCCAAAATGCTCTTGAGTATGGATCTTAATCCATTGAGCTGCTATAGTGAAATCCCTTAGATTGGACAATTATAAGCAATAGAAATTTATCACCACAGTTTTGGAGGCTTAGAAGGCTAGGACAAAAGCATCAATAGAAAAAAATAATAATAAAGAACAAGTAGTATGTGGGGGGTCCTGAATGTGACCAAAATACGTTGTATGAAATTCTCAAAAATCAATAAAAATATTTTTTTAAAACTCCACCAGCAGATTTGGTGCCCAGTGTGGACTAATTTCTCACAAATGGCACCTTCTGTCTTCACATGTCTTCAGGCCTCGTTCTAAAGGCTATTTATGAAGGTGGGAACACTCATGACCTAATGACCTTCATTTTAATATGATTAAGTTTCAGCCAAAGATTGGGAGACACGCATTCAGACCGTGGGAACTTGTGCACAGTCAGCAGTTTTGGAAATGGATTAATTGGACTTTTCAGTAATTTAGGGGATCCATGTGTTTATTGAATTTAGAAATGTCATAAGCTAAACAATAGGAAAAACTAGTTTAAATTAACCCCTGTCCTTCATTTCCTTTTCTCGAGTAATGTTTGGTATATGACTTAGTTTATCAATTCACAGTTGGTGGCCACAAACATCTTTTCCACTTCCTAAGTTTTATGAATAATGTTGCTGTGAATGTTCATGTGCAAATCTTTGTGTGAGGCGGCGCCTTCATTTCTGTTGGGGTAAAACTATTGGGTCATATGATAACTTTGTGTTTCACCTGCAGGGGAACTGCCAGACTCTTAATCCAAGGCTGTACCAGTCCACATTCCCCCTAGCAATGTGGGAAGGGTTCTTTTTCACCATAGCCTTGGCCTCCTCAGTATCTCCTGTCTTTGATTTCGGCCATCCTAGTAGGTATGAATGAGCCCATAACTCAGTGTGGCTTTCATTTGAATTTCCATGATTGCTAACGATGTTGAGCATATTTTCAGGTACTTGCCATTTGACATTTTCTTTTGAGAACTGTTGCTCTCTCTCTCTCCCTCCCTCCCCTCCCCCCCCATCTCTGTCTGAGGCAGAGTCTCCCAGTCTCCAGCTGGCCTGGAATTCATGATGTAGACTAGGCCGGCCTTGATCTCACAGATCCACCTCCCTCCCTCTGCCTCCCCCGTGCTGGGATTAAAGGCATGTACTGCCATGCCTAACTGACATACACGATTTGTAAATATCCCCTCCCATTTTTTTAGGTTGTCTTTTCACTTTCTTGGTGGTACCATTTGTGACTTAACAGTTTAAATTAGAGACTGGAAAAATGTCTCAGTGGTTAACAGCACTGACTACTCTTGCAGAGAACCCTGCTTCCTTTCCCCGGCATCTGCATGGTGGCTAACAGTTGTCCATAACTCCTTTTCCAGGGGATCTGATGCCCTCTTCTGGCCTTTATGGACATTGCATGCACAGGTATACTTGCATACAGGCAAAACACTCACAAATACAAATAAAAATAAAGCAAATTAAAAAAAAATAAAATTTTGATGTAGCTCAGTTTATCAAATTTTTCTTGTCACTTCTGTTTTTGGTATTATAGCTAAGAAACCATTATGTAATTCAGGGCCATGAAAATTTACTCCTGGGCCTAGAAAGATGTCTTAGTGCTTCAGAGCACTGTTTGTTCTTGCAGAAGACCTAGGTCCAAATCCCAACACCCACATGGAGGCTAACAGCCATCTGTAACTGCAGTTCCAGGGGCTCCGACACCTTCCTCTGACCTCTGAGGCACTGAATGACAAGGGTGCACTTACACACATGAAGGCATAACACACTCATACACATAAAATATGAATAAATTAATTAAATAAAAAAGCTTACTCCTGTATTTTCTTCTAATAATGTTATGGCTTCATCCTTTTGGCTGCTATATTTAGGTCTATGATTAATTTAGAATTTTTGTGTCTAGTGTAAAGAAGGGATCCAACTAACTTGATTTTGTATATGGATAGCCAAATTTTTCCTAGTATTACATTTTTTCATGTGTGGTATATACATGTGTACATACATGTTCATGTGTGTAATGTGTGTGTACATGATGAGACCAGAGATTGATATTGGCTGTTTTTCTCTGTTTTTCTCCACCTTATTATTTTTGGAGACAGAGTCTCTACTGGGCCTGGAGCTCACTGATTGGGCCATGCTAGCTGGCCAGCCAATCCCAGTGATCCTCCACCTCAGCACTGGAACTGCGGGTACACACCATGCACCAGGCTGGCTTTTATGTGGGTCCTGGGAGCCGAACTCAGGTCCTCAGATGCCCAACAAGTACTTTACAGACTGAACGATGTGCCCAGCACCCCTAGATAGCATTACTTTTTGAAGAAGCTATACTATTGAATTATCTGGACACCCCTGTTGAAAACCAGTTGCCCTTGGTTATGAACTGAATCCCCCCACAACCTCCCATTTATATGTTGAGCCTCTAACCCCCAGTATTACGGTAGCTGGAGATGGGACCTTTAGGAAGAGGCTAGGCTTAGGTAAGTTCATGAGGTTAGGATCTTCATAAGGATCAGTGCCTTTGTAAGAAGAGACACTAGGGAGCTTGTGCTGTCCCCTCCCCACCACATAAGGATACAGTGAAATGGTGAAATGTTGCTATCTGGAAGCCAGGAAGAACACCCTAACCAGATCCTCAACCATGCTGGCACTCTGATCTTGGACTTCTAGATTGCAAAACAGTAAGAGATACAATGCCCATATTTATTTTTTTTAATAATAAAGAAAATATTGTAAAATATATACTGTTTCTTACAGAAAGACTCGTTTTTGCTAATAACACTGAGATGTTGGTGCATGCATCTCTAATCTGTATGAATCTGATTATTACTACTCATAATCGGTAGCACTTGGATCCTTGGCACCTGTGTATATCTATAAACTCATTGGGTAGATTTCAATGGTAATGTTTGTCACCTCTACTAATTAACATGACATGAGTAAATTTTTATGCTTCCTCCTCAAATGTAATAGATTTTTTAAAATTTGTTGATCGGTGTGTGTGTGTGTGTGTGTGTGTGTGTGTGTGTGTGTGTGTGTGTGACCCAGCACAGCCCAAACCATCTTATTCAACTGTATACCCACTTCCCAGATGGCACCCTCCCATAGCCTCCCTCCCCCCACTAGAGCCCTTTTACTGTCTTCCCTGCTACTGTCTGCTGTGATGTTGGCACCCCCAGCTGTTCCCCACTACTTGTCCATCTGGTGAATCTAGTCAGCCTATCTAGAGGTCTTGTTTTAGGAAGGTCAGCTGTTCCTCATCTAGCAGCAATCACTTGTCAATATTCCTTTAGATAATATTGGGGTCTGCTGTTCATTTTCCCAATTCTATGCTAGGTTACTATCTAGGAATCCCTTGGGCCACCCTGGCCAACACTCAAATGAAGGTAACTCCTATCTGGCATTGTTGCTTGTTATGTAGGCTTTAGCTATACATATGGACTCTTAAAACATTATATTGGCCCTTTTTTAGCTTTTTAAAAGGTTTTATTTCAAGAACTTTGCTTTTTACTGGGATTCCAAAAATGGTGGGTCGAAGTACCAAGAAAATGTCAGCTGAATAACAGCAGAGGTTTAGAAATCACGGTTATAGAAGCAACATACAGACAGCACAGACAAAACAATCCAATGTGTATAATTCTGTTCCATTTCTTTGCTTATTTTAAGTGTTTTTTCCCCTCCTGTACAAAACACATCAGAGCGTACCATGAGATCAGAAAAGAAAGGCTTAACAAATGGCTACAAGAGATGGACTCTGTGCAAGAGGAGTTCCTGGTTCTTCCCACTCCCATCCCCCATGTCCTCTCTTCTCCCTCCTCTTCAGGTTAAGTTATTCTGCAGACAGTTCACCTCCAGCTCAGCCTGCTCACCCTTGCCCCCCTCAAGTTTGGGTGACATGGAGT